ATTTTTGTGCATAGTCTACGGTTATCCTACCATAAGTCTTTACAAAATCACCGTACAATTCTTCCAGATCAAATTTTTCGCCTCTCCTATCGAAAACCTTTTTCAGCAACTGTAGCAATATATTTGCGTCAGTCGGTATGTTTAAGCACTTAAGCTGTATTCTGTCTACCGCATTTGGAACTGGAAAAGTAACCTTGTCACCGAATGGGTGAAGTTGTCTGACTATATGCCTTAAGGCCGCGACTAGTATGGATGGTTCCTCTAGTCGCGATAGTCTCATATTGGTCTCCATATCTTCATACAGAGCCAATATACCCTCATCCTTCGGTTTCGGTTTTTCCTGAATTTCGCTATCCACATTCGTTTTCTTCTTTCTCCTAAAAGAAAGTAATCTAAGTCGATCTCGAAATCGCTTCGATGGTGTCTTATGCGATTTGGATGGTCCTACGTTTTGGTCAGTATCTTCTAGTGTTGATAGTTTATCACTATCTTCACAATCGAATTTACTGACCATAGTCAGTTTTTTGGATCTGACGATCCAAAAGTAACTTATACGTCGGACAATCCTTCGCATTTTGTTGTTTACAATCGGTTTTACCTCTTAGCTTACAAGGTATGCAAGCTTTCTGCTGTTCTGCGTTATTACTTTTACAGTCCTTTTTCTCGTGCTGTTCTCCACATTTGGTGCACGCGGTTTCCCTTGTGCAATGTTTCGAAACATGCCCGAGGCTAGGCACTTCATACATTTAGGTACTACCTGGTAGTCCTTTGCATTGATGGCGTGAAAGCCAACATATAATTTACTCCTTATGAGCCTTTTTCTTAGGTCGGGAGAAACCTCTGCCACATAGTGGACAGTGCTCCTTCCTCGAGGTCCAGTCTTAAATCTTATTTTAATTGATTCATTAAAATCCTTTTTACTCATGTCGTCGAAATTTTGTTCTCTTATGCTCTCTAATATATCCTCTTCCTTATCAGCGCTCGGTAGATCGTACATTATTACCAGTGGTTTCCGTTTTCTGGGTGTTTCGCACTTGAAGTTTTCCTGTACGGTTTTATTCAACTTGATTTTATCTAAGTCCTCTTTCGAGGCTGCTTCTATTATGAGTACCTTGCCAGAAGTACGCATTTTATTTATTCTAACTTTGCTTGTTATCGGGTTTACTAGTTTTGTAAACTCTTCCTGTACTTTCTTACCGTTGCTAATTTTGTCAGAGGTTACAAAGAGAGTATTATCATCCTTTGCCTTCTCAATTTTCGACGTTACATCATTCTTTGCGATACCTATCGTCGGCTGTGCCGCTACTCTAGCATAAGATATTTCTCTGCGTTTACTATTATCAATTTCTTTCCTCAGTCTTTCGACTTCCTCTTTTAATATTTTATTCTGGCCTGTAACGCTTGCCATTTCCATTGCCAGTGTCAATAAACGTGTTTAAAGTCCCCCCTTACCCGCTTTGTTTAACCTTTTTGATGGATCCATGTCGTTGTCGACATAGTCCATCAAGTCGTGAAACTTTTCTTCCACCGTCATTTCCTTCTCCGTTGCACCTTTCGATTCGCTTAATCGGAGGTTAAGACTCGAGCTAAAGCTCTCATCTGCCTCCTCTACCGCAGGAGAGACCCTACCGCTGGTGGACTGACCACCCGCGGCAAGGGCCTTCTTCCTCGTGTCCATAGACACCTATATATCTACCTACTACTACCTTTCCTATTACCTATATGCACTACACTACTTATACTTAACTATGGGCAAGCGGTTATCGAACCGCTCGCGATGAAATATCGGGTTTGCCGGAAAAAGTTGATTTTTTGCCGGACTAAAACTTAATTTTTATAGTTTCTGTGCACTCTTAGCCCTACCACCGAGCTTATTGCGGGAGGACCCCGTCTGATTGCGGTGGAGTGGTTGCCCGCCCCTAACCACGAGGAGGTGGTGCACAGGTCTTTCTAGCAACTGCCTTCGTGTTATTTGTTATTAGTAACTATAGAGAAAATAATAAAGTCTTCCTTTTTCAGGGAGGTATAAAAACGCTTTAATCACTTTGAGCCTTCTTTACAAGGCTGTTCACTCGATGCCCGAAGGCCGCTTTCTACTATGATAACACTCTACTTGTTATAATAGGCCCTAGGGGCAAAAGAAAATATAAGATTTACTGGAAGCACTACAATAGAATAGGCTTAGCTCAAGAGAATGAGAGTTGTGCTCAGAGAAGAGGTTGGCACGTTTGCCAGTAGTAACTTGAGGTTAAATCAGATCAATCCTAATATGATCTAGAGATGGGCGTCAGGGTGAATTTAGAATATCACTCCAATTTGGGATATGTAGTTATATACTAACTGAAAATAAAAGATGATAGGAAACAAATAAAAATCTGAAATGCTTTATACACTATATTATAATCTTACTGTGCTATTCCATCCCTATACTTATATACACTAAATAATTATTAAAAGATATCCCCAAAATATATATTGACAAGAAAAACAGTTACTAAAAATATGACCCAAAATATAAATACCTCAAAAGTTTGATCTAAACAGTCCTCTAACAATGAGGAAAAAAAGGGTTAGTTAATAATATTTAAATAACTCACTTGTTTAAGTAACAAAAACTAAAATATATTTGCCATTAAGTGACCTTGGCCTAAATATTGAATGTTAGGTACTATACTGGAATATTATAATATGTATATAAAAAAAGTAAGAATTATTGTGGGATTTTTCTAATAGTTGCGAAGATTTACATGATTGAAACTGGCAAATTTAAATGGAATATATTTGGACTTACCAGAACTTATTGGAAGTTTTATCTTTCATAAAACAAGGTGGTAGCTTCTTAAACGCACATAAACTAACTTCCTTTTTAAATAACCAATAATAAACTCTTCCCCTTTTCCCAAGAAATAATAAAATAACTTAAAATTGTTACCTTCTTCCTTCCAAGTTCTGCCTGGCGCACTTTTCAACCTGTCTCCAGGAAGTTCTGTTCTAAAATGAACAAGGGAATATGGCCACTGGCCAGTATTTGTTTTTCCTTTAATGACAATGGGAATTGATTTTATTGTAAATCGATACATGAAATTGTGTTATAGGTTGCCTAGTTTGCAGCGCAAATTAGTAGCTATTGTAGGTAACGATCGTATCGTTACATGTTGTTTCCCCCTTAGCTTGCCATCCCCTTTGTTTTTTTTGTTACTTGCCACCTGCCACTCTTTATCGAGGGCAGTAGCCTCAGCTACCTCCAGAGTGGAGGTGTGTTCAGACCCAAGGGGCGCTCCTCCGAACGCGCTCTCTACCGGTGCTTCCTTTCTTGGCGAGTTCGGGGTGTTGGTAGACCTCGAAAACACTGCCAGTTCCTCCGCCTTTTCCATCTCACTTACTACGTTTATTACTACATTCTCTTCGTTTTCCATTTCTATTAACACGAGTAGGGCCGAAACAACTAATGCTCCACGGCAGTGCGCCCTTACCGTGAGGGTGGCTAAGTTACCCCAGAAGATTGCCTGGCCGACTGGGGGCACCGTTCGAGACCATCTAACCCTCTGGCCTTTCACTCCTTGGCATGGTTCGCATAACACCATACGGTTGGGAGTTTTTTATTGAGGTTTATTCCTCTACGCTAAGTCGCTCGCGCGCGCCCCACAGACGGCCTGCTATTGCCAAGCATCTAGGGGGCGCATTCGTGCGACCCAATAACCTAACCTAAACTAAACACAACACTATCCGGAACTGACATATTTTCAGTTTTATATTACCACAATAAATTTGTAGATCATACGTATAACCTCCATCCAAACAGAGTTTGTATACCTTCACCCCGAATTTATGTCTCTTGTTTTTGATATACTGCCGAAATGACAGTCGGCCCCTAAACGGAAGTACAGTTTCATCAATGCAGAGTTCTTCCCCCGGCACTACCACTCCCTGAAAATTTGATATGAATTTCTTCAATAGGGGTGACAGTTTTTACAGTCGAAGTCACTATTTTCATTGTCACTAAAGTGTAAATTGGCAAGTAATAATTCAAAACGATTACGCGACATAAGACACTTTATTTTGCTTTCGTATAATGGATTTTTTGACCAATACGAACACAACTTTGGCAATCTTTGCAATCCCATCCAGACAAGAATGGCCAAAAATGACTTTATTTCTTCGGTATTTGTATCTACCCACCTATGAATTCTAGGCTTTTGGACCGTGACCACCTATATTCATCTTTTGATGTGCATATCGATTAGTTTCTTGCACAATCCAATTAATCAGTCATTCACAAATAGTTGAAAAAAGTCAAAGAAAGTTTCATCATACATCTCAAAAACCTCTACTTTGATACCCGAGTATTGAACACTGAATCTAATGTTTTTCAAGTTCTGACCATCTACCATGTTCATCATCTGGCAGTCGATATTGGGAAATAACATTTCCAATGGTATCGTCTACTGTTCGTAAGTTTTGCGATGTTGAGGTAAATCTTGTAAATTACCTTGCATTTTTTTGTCTTTTGCTCTCCGGAACACCTTGATGTAACGAAGAACTACTTATTTCGTCATCACTATCTAATTCAAAATTCTTCATAGAAGGCATCGGAGAAGCTTACAGCAGGGCTGTGAGATCTTCCCAGTCTTGCTGACATCTGCTTTTGGGGGTTAGTGATTCTAAGCTGACAGGTAGCTTGCCGCCCTCGTAGGTCGCCTTCTCCAAATTAAACGTCTCCTTGGCAATGATTCTGATGCACATGTTGCAGCTGAACACAACGCCTCAGGGGCCACAGACATCCAGTCCGGCGTGAGCCAGCTGGGAGAGTTGGGATCGCACGGTGAGGAAGACGGATTGGAAACATATCGTGTGGTTTTCCCCTTTCTTGGCATAATCCGTGGCAGTGTCAGACACTATGGTGGCATGGCTGGAGAACGTGGATGTTTGGTTGTACAGGCGACCCCTTTTCAATCCAGGGCAGTCTAAACGATGAGAGATTGTTCCTGAGTACACCTGTCTCAAAAACTGCTCGAGAGTTGCTGAGCTCTGTCGTTGTTCTCAGCTATCATGGTGTTGTTTAAGGGAAGTATGGTGGGAGACTCATGCAGCCACAGCTTGATCTCAACAAGTTGTTTCAAAGTGGAAACCATGCTACCCACCTCTAGGTCTTGCAAAGGAGCTCTACGTGCCCTCATTTTTGTTTGTGAGCCGAAGTAATGGTGTCTTACCATTTTGAGGGGAGGATTAAGGCGAGATGCCGAGGGGTCTATGTGCACCAGAATGCATCGGGGCTTCCACATCTTTGGTACATTTTGCCAAGGATGGAGACTTGTTTGCTCTTGTTGAGCTGGCATGGTGATTCCAAGTTCGTGATCCCATCCTCGGCGTCTGCATTCCTCGGCGTCTGCATTCCTCGGCCAGCTGCGTGCAACAGGCTGCTTTCTCTAGTATATTATTATATGCTGTCCATATGGAAGATGTATGTGTACTCGTAGATATTCTTTAGTCCGAAAAGCCGGTCGAAGCACTTGAAGGTGGGAGTGGCAAGCTCCAGTCTAAAGTTGGTGCACCAGGAAGAAAAGTCAACAACAATGTAGCAATAATCAGGGCTGGTGGCGTCCGCCTTAGGACTTGTCATTCTGGTTATGGTTCTAACAAATTGCTCTTCTCCCATTGTCATTGTCTGTTAAGGGATGTAAAGCATTATCTGAGTAGCTATGTTGCTGTTTGATAAAGTTGCATCTCTGGAATCATCTTTACATAAAACCAGGCGTTGTCCCTCTTCTGCTCCCTTTCCTTAGCCACCGCCAATATCACTCTCCATTCATCCGGGATGATACCATTCTCGATTAAGTTTATGATGTCTTCAACGTCGACTTCCTCCGTCTCTAGAAAGGATACAATTGGGCTTTTACTCGTGAGAGCGGGACCTGAAGGGAACCTACCATAGAGGGTCCGATGCACCTCTTTGTCATCTTTATATATCCATTGGGATCGAGCGGGGATGATGGATTTATCGTGAAGGAGATCTGTTACATCTACATGCATGTCGAAAGATTCTTCTCGAACGTGATACCTGCGAACTCGGCGGACATCTAGGGATATCTCTTGTGTTCATCCCATGTTTCTCTCTCATAGTTGTCTCTCACTCGGACGCTTGCTAAATTGGTACGATGAACAAGTGGCGATGCTCTCTTCTCTCTGAAGTAATTTCGACAAAAGACGAGAGTGAACATGTGAACCAGTTCGTTACCTGGCGCCTCCAAATCCTTCTTGAGACACATTTCTTTCTTGGCCCAGGCCTTCACACTATCGTCCATATCTCTAATGGGATGTCCAAAACACTTCCACATTCCACTCAATTCAAGACGAAGATGAATGTCACTTACAGGCGTGACGGGGCGAGTAAGATAGTGATATAGCTACGTATGGGAGTAGGGTTGAGTCTCTTCAGTGAGACTTGTGAGTGAGACTCTTGAGACAGTGAGACTGTTCTGAAGATCTCGAAAGATGCATGCTATGGCTAGGGAGGGCCATGTCTTTAGAATGGAGGGCATGCTGTCGACGTGTCGGGATGAAAAATTATAAACTATTTTGTTGCTTCAATTTCTATATCATAAAAGAATTTTGTAATCGACTTTTTTAGAGGCATATTTTCTATAGCGGATTTATACTCATGTAAATCAAAGAAAATATTTAATATGATGTATATATTTATATATAATACTTAACCTATAAATATGAATTTTAAGTATATATTTACTTTTATATATTCACTTTATATTTACCTATTTATATAAAAATAAAGTTATATTTACTTTTTAGTTTTTTCTCGGACTTATTTCTTCTAAAAAATCATCAGAATCACTACTTGAAGATATAATGGAGTGTAATATATAAGACCTTGCAGTATTTACAGCTGTATGGCAGTTAGTGGTGGAAACTGAAGGTATGGAGGTGTTAGACGGAAGCTCATCCATAGAAATCTTTGCTTTTATAGGGAACCTAAAAAAATCGTGAAGGTTGAACTATAGTTGTAGAAACATTAAAACGTTTTATTTAGATTTAAAAATGGTTAACTAGAACTGAACTTCATACAAATATTTAATCCTTAAATAAAATAAGTTAATAAGTTTTTTGGTGATATGTTTCACATAATAATTTTTTCTTCCTAGCTTCTAAATTCAATGCACTTTCATCAGATTCAACATCTGATGAATTAATGGGAAAGTAATCATCTGAAGAATTATATATGATGTCTAAAGTCTCTTGTTCTTAGTCTGATAATAACTCATTCCACAATTTCAAAAGTCTCTCTTGCTCCTTTTCGTAACTTTTTTCAATTTTATTACAACACAAAACACAATAGAATTTTCTATAATTCGCAACCAACCTTATTACGCGCCGTAATGTCAACAAATGGATTATAGACTAAAGAAAACAACTGCAATTTTAGCACACACAGACTTGTTAGAACTCGAAAAAAATGACAACGATACTCGGGTTTCGCGGCGCTCGGTCGTGAGAGGATCTAAAACTTATAAGTAGGGTGTCATTTTCAAAATACATTTTTAGGGAACTTTTTTAACCTAGCGCTTTAGAACAGCCAGTAACGATGTAAAAACCGAGGTACGATCATATCCGAGGTAAAAACCTAATGATTTACTAGAAAAACTAAGTTGGGCCTGGGGGTGGGATATTTTTCGCTTCATTTGGGTGATTAACGTGTTAACGGTTATTTTAAAAGAAAGTGGTTGAAATGGTATTTCTATGTTGTAACGCAGTAGTGTTTAATGTTTTATTTGTATAATTTAAAATGCCTCCCCTAATCAAAAGATCAGCTGCCTCCTCTAATATGTGCTACCACATGATACGCGGTGCCTATTCAGTGAAAGCCCACCTTATTCAGCAATCTTACCAGCGAGTGTGCGAGGTGCGACATGCTTTCTTACAAACCCGAAACTTCATGTCACACCTCCCGCCCTCGATGGCTAACCCTATGAGCCATTGGGACGCACCAGGTGGGTCGTGGTCCAACCCCCCGTCAGACTGTTGCCCACAGAAGAAGAGTACTAGTCTCAACTCCTGAAAGCAACAGCCCGCGGCTGGGTGTGGTATTGGTCTAGATTTATATGTTGGTTTTGGTTTCACTTTTTGGTTTTTAAGAAAGTTCATATAAGAAACTTGATTTCGATAGTTATCGTAGGCTATACATTTTTGTAAGGCAGTATCTAGTATATAGAGTTTACATCTGTAGATAATTCTTTTAATGTTAAATTCTTAAAATAAGGTAATTTGAGAAGTACTGTTTTTGCCATATTATTCAGGGAAATGTGTTGTAATAAGTCGTTTAAGTGCATCGAATGAATCTAATAAAGGTAGATAAATTTTGACCTGTTGTATATTCGGGGAGAGTAGAACACACGCTGGAAATATCGCTATTGAAAATGGGCATTTTGTTTTATTTTCTAGAATCGGAAAAATTTGTTGGATCATAGGAAGTCGATTAAAGGGCTTATATCACGAAGATGATTTCTTTGAGATTGACAGCGGATAATATTAAGTTCAGTTTCAGTATACCAAGGAAATGTGCTCATAAGTAAAAATAAATACAATTAAAATAAAATGTATAAGGACAAACTTATACAAGCATGTTGCTGGTCTATTCTGCATCGTTTCGGTTAGTGGGTCCTTAACCAAACAACTGAAGTTGACCAGGAATTCTTGCAATTCTGTGTAGGGATCCTGTTCGTAGCGCCAATTATATTTCTAACTTGGAACACTTAAAAAACTTTATTTTTCAAAGTATACAAATTTACAAACTATGCATAATAATAACGTTAACAATTACTGTTGAACTTTAACCCATTAAGTACTGAATTTTATAATTTTGGAATTTGCTGTAATTTTTCATATTTTCTATAATAGGGGTGTCCAAATATTGTATATAACTAATATTTTAAATACCCGTCTGGTAATAACAATATTACAGCATGTGCCATATATGACACAGTAGTTCCCTATACTACTAAAGTAAACAAATATTTGGAAATATGTATTTTTATTGTTAAGTTTACAAAAATTATGAAAATATGAAAATCGCTTACAAAGCTTCAATTTTGTTTGTGAAAGTCACTAAAGCACTGAATACACAGCCCTACATTGCATTTGCCGCATTGTGTTCTCACAGCGCTCGATTGTGCGTGACTGCCAGCACAACGTCTTCTTTTATCATTCGGAACATATTCAACATAGTGATCACTGTGATCGTACCTAATATCGACAGCAATCCTGCTTTCAGGTGAATATGTAGCTGGTCGTCCAGCAGCTTTAGGTAGATTTTGAAACTTTTTTAAATACACTTGTGCTATTTCTCTTCGAAAATTCAGTTGGGGTGCACCTGGGTGATGTTTTTTATATATTATCCACGAATTTTGGATAGACGTGTTTAGTAGCCAAGTAAAGATGGCCATCACCATTTCTTGCCTCTAATACCAACTCTATAAACATTTGTATTCGCATCCATTTGATCGGTACCCCCATAAAAGCATTGTATTTTCCAATACAATTAGGTCTAGGAATCCCTATTTTCTTTTTTTCAGTCGATGAGTATCGGCTTACTTTCGATACTGGAGAAACTCCATGAACAGTTGATGCTACAGTAACTACAGAATTATCCATCCAGCGTGTCACCATTACTTGTTGATCTGTGGTTACAGCATAGTCATAAGTACCTCTAGGTGTCTTTTTTAACTCTTTTACTGTACGGAGTGGACAATTCTTTGTTAGTCTATTTTCTCTAACTGTCCCTGTTGCTTCATAACCATTCTCTTTTAAATAATAAAGAATATCGATGGATGTGAATAAGTTATCAAAATAAAAATGGTATGGCAATGATCTAGTTTCCTCGGGCATCTCTTTAATAAGCTGCAATAACGGAGCTGTTGCTTTACCAAATTTTTCTTGATGCTCTCGATTAGAATTTGGCATATTTCCCTGATAAACCTCAAAATTGATAAGGTAACCGCTTTTGGAATTGAGACACCAGACTTTATATCCAAACCGGATGGGTTTCCCTCGAATATACTGCTTACATCCGTGTTTTCCAAAGTATTCGATCATGCTTTCATCATAGGCGATTTCTTGATCCGGAATGTAATGTCTCAGAAAGTTAGTTTTTATCTTATTTATAGTTTATTCGTCTTCCGGGTTTGGACCGTGTCATTTGTGAGTGACCCAAAAGTGGGTTCATCTCAGAGATGAACCCACTTTTGGGTCACTCACAAATGACACGGTCCAAACCCGGAAGACGAATAAACTATAATTCTGACTCTGGCCGTGGAAGCCTACGATTTCATTAGTTTTTATCTTATTTATAAGAGGTCTGAGTTTAGTCAGTTTGTCGTTGGGTTTAAGAAGAGTGTTATCGGCACAATGCACGAATCTCATGATCTGAATAAATCTGTCACGGCGCATGGAATTATAAACGGCTGTGTTTCGCATATCATCTCCAGAATCCCAGTAACTTTTTTTTGATGGCTTTTTATCATAACCAGAAACTATAAGAATTGCTAAAAAGCATTTCATTTCTTCTGATGTAATTTTTGGGTCTGAACAATTTTTAAATTGAGCGTATCGAGTAGCCTCAACACAAAGTAACTGTATGATATCAGTAATGAAAAGCTCGAACAGGTCTACTGGTGACATATTTCATCATTTTTTTATTTTTACCAGATTTAGTATGGAGTATGGTATTACCTTCATTAGAGTCTTTATGTGCAATATCTCCAGTATTTCCATAATCGTCAGTACCAATTCGTTCTCCACTATTGAATACTATTTCTGCAGACGCTTGAAGTTGTTTGCCTGATAAATTGTCTAGTCCACCACCAGATTCATCTCCGGAATCTTCGTCTGATTCTTCTCGGTTTTCCGGGGGTTCTATATAAACCCAATCAACTGTTTCATTGTGAAAATCCTCCCAAAAATTGTTCTGAGTCAAAGAGATCTGCAATCTCTTGGACTGTCAATCTGTAACAAAAAATAAA